GAAGGTGGTATTTTTCACTGTCCGGCTTGAATGTTCTCTGTAAATGTTCTCTCTAGTATCTATACTCTTATGGGCTTTTGCAGCTTCTTGATGTATACCCTATACCTCAATAATATGTAATGAGTTACAGTTCCTTGATTAAGCCATGCTGTTTCAAATTTCTGTGACTGTGCCCTTTTTTTTTTTTTTTTTTTTTTTTTTAAGTTCCTAGATTAATCTCTCCCCTTCTCCTAACCACTCATCCTCCAGGAGTCTAATGCCATCTTCAGTCCCCCTTAGTAGAGTTCATCTTGCCTACTTTGATCTATCCTTAACACCTCTCACCTTCATTTTACCTCTATCACTCACAGCATGTATCACAGTGAATCCCAATCATTGTTCGTACACTTAACTTCCCTGTTAGACTGTAAGAGCAATGCTAATTGCTAACTTGTGATGTAAATAAAGTAACTAAAAGTATTCTATAGAGTAAAATAGGTTTCCTTCCTGAGCAGGGAAGTATAGGTATCTCTAATAGAGTCCATTAATCCTTGTCAGGGAGTATCCTAGCACATTGTTATACTCCAGGAATAATATGTGTTACTGAACTTTTCTTAATTGCCAGAAGGTGCATACTCACCAGAGAGAGTTGGGGGGATGGGGAGAGAAAGCCCCACACATGGGTAGTTTGTTTTTATTTTATTTGTTACTATCATTACCAGAAGTCACATGGAGGCACGGGGTGGGGGTGGTGAGGGGGAGACAGGAAGCATTGCCTCATGGAGTGTGGTCATGCTGCAATTCCTTGTCCTGCGTTTATACATTCTTTTGGGATTTGGAGCACGTATGCACATGTATCCTGTTTTTCAAGCTGCTGGACCCAGGACTCAAACTGTGGTTGGCCATGTGGGATCTGGCTCCCTTAGCCACAGGTCTGGCTGAGTAGTTTGTCTTTATTGCTGAGTAATATTTCATTGTGTGGATGTACTACAGTTTAATCTGTTCACCTCTTGACTGACATTTGGGTTATGTCCAGTTTTTAATGAATTATTATGAATAATGCTGCTATAAGTAATTATATGCAGGTTTTTGCATAAATATAAACTTTCATGTGCCCCGGATATTTAGTGGTGAAATTTCTGGGGTTACATGCTAAGTGTATACTGGACATTTTAAGAAACTGACAAACTTTTCAGAGTGGTCATACCAATTTTTATTCCCAGCAGCAATATGTGAGAATTCTGGTTGACTCACATCCTTGACAGCATGGTCTTAGCAATTGTTTGTTTTCTTGTTTTTTAAAAATTTGCTGTTTCACGTAAGTATGTATCTAGCTGGCATGATTTTTTAACCAGGTTTGTTCATCAACCCGTGGAGACCTGGAAGGGGATATGGAACAGAATAGATTGAATGCAAAGCCAGGGAAGAGTTCATAAGGAAGATATGGAGAGACTCTTAGATGTGTGAGAGCTTGGCGATGTCTGACATACTTTTGTATCCTCAAATGACTAGCACAGTACGCAGTGGGGATTCTTTTATTTTACTAAATAATTAAAGATGAAAAATGATCGAAAGGTTAGGGAAGAATTAGAAGTAGGATGAACTACTTAAAAAAGTAATTTTAGATTAGATTTGGTTTGAGCAATTCCAGTATACTTATGTGACACATCTCTCTATCTGTTTAAGTCTTTGTTTAAATACGTGTTTAAAAGTTAAGTTGGTTTGGGACCAGCAGATAGTGTAATGGTTATGTCGCTGGACTCCCATGTAGTCAACCACAGCTTGAGTCCAAGACCCAATGACTTAAAACTAACTGTGGGTGCATGTGTGTGCGTGCCCAAGATCCTGAGAGGAGAATGGAGGAGAAGGGATTGCAGCATGGCTGTCCCCCCGGGCGTTGGTTTCTCACCTTTCTGTCTCTCTGGCAAGTGCACATGCCCTATAACAACAATCTTTTATTGATTGATTGATTGAAGTTATGTTGGTTCTCTGATTTCAAGCCCCTGAGAAGATGAGAAGTAGCATGATACAGTGTAAGAATCAGTAGGCACAAAAGAATTGATGCTACTAACTCACTGGATTTAGGAAAGTCATCTGAATTCTCTTGGGCCTCAGCTTCATCACTGTAAAATAAAAAGATCTTATTAGATGATAAGTAAGCTCTTCTAACTATAATTGTTTTCCCTTAGTCATATCGAATCAGAAAGTAGTAAGTGAGGAAGAAGTGTGCCAGGGCCTTAGATGGGAGGAAGCAGTTATATATGGATGTAATGCGAAGTATAGCTTTGCAGGGGGCTTAGGGATGAGGTTCTAATCATAGAGCTGGCTAATGGCTAATTGGCAGGGAAAAAAGGATAAGAGAGGGTAGTTAAAGGGAGTGCAAATAGAATAGCAGCATTGCAATATATATATATATTTTTTTGAGGTGGTTGTAAAAGAAGTATGAGTTGAGAATACTGAATTTAGAAGTTTGTGAGTAATTTTTTCCTGTTAAGAAAAGCTTTACATTAAAGACTGGGGAAAGTGACCAGCAGATAGCATGGTGGTTAGGGTGCTGGTCTCCACGTGGGTAATTGTAGTTTGAATCCTGGACCCAACTGCATGAGACTCACGCCAGGCGTGTGTGTACATGCATGCTCAAAATCCTGAGAGGACAGTGGAGGAGAAGGGATTGCTGTGTGGTCATCCTCCCTGGGGGTGATTTCTTTCTTTCTGTCTCAGTCTCTCTGGTGAGTGTATGAGCCCTATAGCAAAATCTCAGGGAAAAGACCCAAACAAACAAAAACAAAAAACTGACTGGAGGAAAGCTACCTGTAGTACCTTTTAATGGAAAAAGGAGGATGTGAGCCTCTTTTTTTTGGGGGGGGGAGAGATTTTCGCTATATGGCATGTGCGCTCGCCAGACAGACAGAGAGAGACATAGAGACAGAAAGCGAGAGATCACCCCCCAGAGGGGATGGTCACGCCGCAATCCCTTCTCCTCCATTCTCCTCTCTGGATCTTGGGTACACACACACACACACGCCCAGCGTGAGTTTTAAGCCACCGCGTCCGGGACGTGAACCGCAGTCGACTACGTGGGAGTCCAGCGACATAGCCATTACGCTAACTGCTGGTTCCCTGAGCCTCTTTGAAAGAAAAATTGAGGATGTGTGGAGACAGACCACTCTCAGCCCTGTAAGAGTTCAGGTTGGGCCTGCTGTTTTCCAGGGGTCCCTTTCTCTACCATGACTCCCGTACCCTATTTCTTAAAGGTTTGGATATAGAGTTTAGCAAAAAGCCAGATATTTATTTTTTTATATATTGATGAGTTTTGTTCACATACTGCCAAGTATTGGTAGAGATTTAAAAATATCGTCAGTACTCAGATAAACTTGATTCCATGTTGACCTGTTTTGTTGTTTGTCTGACATTTTTATAAAGCACCATGACATTTGAAATTTTTATTTCTGTTTCCTGTTGTAACTCATTTTAAATAATCAAAGGTTTTGACCTCTGGAATATCTTTTTTCGCATATAAATTTCAAGGCCATTATTTTTATAGTTTTAATGTTTCCAACAATTTTATTATCTTGAAGCAAAAACATATTTCTGCTCTAATGTAATTTAGGTAGTAAAAGCAATTGTTTATTTGCTTTAGACTATGTTTCCAGCTGTTTATTTTAAAACATCAATATTATGTTCTGATTATGAGGACTCCCAAAGTAATCCTTTGGCAAATAGTTTGGTAAAGCCAGTTAGAAAGCTTCTACTTAACTGTTCAGCTCATAAACAGCCAGTTAAAGACCCAAGTGCTCAAAGATGTTCTTTTAGATTCTAATGTAAAGAATAAACATTTCAGGGCTGGCCAGTGATGTGGTAGTTAACGTGCTGGACTCCCACTTCATCAACTGTGGTTTGAGTCCCGGACCTGGCAGCTTGCTTTCTCACTTTTCCTCTCTCTGTCTTTCTCTGGTCAAATTTAAAAAATAATAATGATGAATAAAGTTAAATAAAATAATTCTTTAAAAAATTAACATTTCTAGATTTAAAAAAATCTGTTAAGTTGCCATTTTCTTTGAGGAATACTCACATTTGGATAACTGTTCTGCAATTCTTACTCCATTTAATGTGTACTACCAGATAGAAAAAAACTGGAATATTTAATTTTTTTTTTTTTTTTGAGAGAGTTTTGCTATAGAGTGCATGCACTTGCTGGAGAGACAGAGAGAGACAGAGAGGCAGAAAGCGAGAAATCACCCCCCAGGGGTGGTGGTGGTGGTGGTGGTCATGCCACAATCCCTTCTCCTACATTCTCCTCTCAGGATCTTGGACACACATGTACATGTATCCAGCATGAATTTTAAGTCACTGAGTCCAGGACTCAAACCTCACACTACATGGGAGTCCAGCAACATAACCATTACACCATTTGCTGGTCCCCAAACTGGAATATTTTAAGATTTTGGGTTAAACATTCTGGAAAAGAAAATGTATAATTTTATGTTAAATACCAATAACCCAGTTAAAACAAAAACAAAACCTGGGCCAGCCCACATCATGGTGGTTAAGGTAGCGAGATCCCACATGGCTGACGGCATGGTTCAAGTATCAGAAGAATGGCTTGAAAACTTGCCAGGTACATATATGTATTCCAAATCTGGAAAGGAGGGAGAAGTGGAGGAAAAGAGATTGTGGTGTGATCATCCTCCATAGTGCTGTGGGGTTCTGCCCACCATCTCTGTCTCTTTCCAGTGAGTACATGTACCTTCTGGCAAGATAATACATAGGTAAGTAAATAAACAAATGATTTTTAATTTGTCTCTTGGGGAAGAGTAATTTCTAATATGATAGCATCTTGTTAGTCCTATAGAACATGTTACCTATGTGATTTCAAGCTCTCATATACTTTTTCAGAACCTTTTCTGTAGCCTTATAATTAAAGGTCATATATGCATTATTCTGAAATTGAATTTGAACAGTTAAATATGTAGTAACAAAGTATATCCTTAAAAATATTTTTAAAATTTTTTATCTTTCAGAATCATGGTGTCATGGAAAGGGATTTACTTTATACTCACTCTGTTTTGGGGAAGCTTTTTTGGAAGCATTTTCATGTTGGGTCCCTTTTTACCTTTGATGTTTGTAAGCCCTTCTTGGTATCGCTGGATCAACAACCGCCTTGTGGCAACCTGGCTCACGCTACCTGTGGTAAGTTATACCCCATAGACGGAACCTGTCTACTTGTGCCAGAGTGGCCCAATCTATTGATTTTATTTTGTTAGAATCAGATTTGGGTTGTAGAAGAAACGTTCTTCCTCCATGTTATGTGAGAGGGATGTTAGACATTAAAGCAGCATAATATAAAAAGCAGAGAGAAATATCTTTCATGCTCTTGAAATAAAATACCTAATTAAGAGCCATATTCAACCCTGGCCATCAATGGGGTGACAGATGTCGCTGCCAGATCGCCCTCACATTCTAAGACCTGTATTCAAAATGAAGAGCTTCTATGTTTTTTATGAGTTTACTTTCCCTTATTGAAGAATACTTTACATACAGTAAAATGCACAAATCTTAGGTATACAGATTGAGGAATTTTAACATTATAACTTCTATTTCGCATTCCCTTTTTTAAAACAAAAACAATGACAAAACCTAAGGTTGATAAAACAAAACTTTTAAAAAATCTTGGAATATTGATGTAATTGATTCAGTTCTCTCCAGTAATCCAGAATTCAGAAACAAAGTGATTTTCTATTTATTGGACTATTTATTAACAACATCTGTAAGGCCAAAGTATATACTCCCTGTACAGCAGAGCCTTGGGATACTCAGGTGTTCTCTGTGAGGTCAAGGCACACTGCTCTGAGCACATCTGCCTCTGATCCCGAGTTGGTGACTTCCTGTAGGACACCAGTTCACACTTCACCCTTCTCTGGGACTGGGAAGCAGCTTTGACCCTTTCCTTTTGCTGCTGTTCATAATCAGTAAGGCCTTTTCCAAAAATCGAGTGAGGTATGTGCAGTTAGTTGTCTTTACCTAGGATATTCAGATTGTATTTCCTGAGGAAATATTTCTTCCTTTTCCTGCATAACAGATAGACCTTATTGCTAGGTTTATTCATTTATCATGAGAGAGAGTTGCGGAGGATAAAATCTAAAAAGGAAAACAAGAAGGGGAATAGTCTTCCTTTAGTTCTTAAAGGATTCTCTTTACTTATTTCTTTTTAATTGAGTTCCCTGTCTGTACCCAGGTTGTAGGCAACTGTTCATGTTTTGTTTGTAGAGAGGAGGCATATGCTATAGATCCCTTGAGTGGAGTTTGATTGGGAAATCATTTCCGGAAACAATAGTTGATTTGGGTGTAACTGTCTTGATGGAATAGATGTTTCTTAAAAGTTTCCTGTAGTTTGAGTTTACTATAAGTCCTTTGTAATATATCCTTCCTTTCACTTTTAAAAATGAATCCTGTTCAACTGTGCTGGCACAAGAGATAAGGTGCTGCTGCATAAGACGAGCCATAGAGGAGAGCTGGGTTTCTATCCCACACGAGTTTGAACAGGCCAGGCCTGGTAATATGTGCCTATAACCCTAGCTAACTGGGAGGCAGGGCAGAGGATCACAGCAGTGAGACCCTGTCATAAATACTGAGCTCTCTTCTTTCTTCCTCCCACTTTCTCTTTCATTCTCATTAAAGAAAAAAAAAATTTCTGTGGTGAATAGTTTTATAAATTATCTTCATCCCTTGTTAGTAAGTAAATTTGTTTTTAAATTTTTATTTAGAAAGAATACTATTTAACCAAATATACTCTCATTCTGTCTTCTCTTCTCCCTTTCTTTATAGTTGATTTAAAGTTGTCCATATTACAGGCACAAAGGAAGAGACTCTAGTGTACTGGTAGATAATAAATAACCATGATATGGTACATATTAATTAAAATATAAGAATAATTAGATGGTTTCATTAAAAGGAAGAATCAGGACCAGCAGATGGCATGGTTGTTAAGGTGCTAGACACTCCCACATGGCTGACCATGGTTCAAGTCCTGGACCTGGTGGCTTGCTTTCTCACTTCCCCCCCTTTCTTTCTCTCTCTCTCTCTCTCTCTCTGTGTGTGTCTCTCTCTCTGTCAAATTAAAAACAAATGAATGAATAAATAAAATTTAAAAAAAAGGAAAAATCAAAGTAAAAACCCAGTGGTGGTGATATTTGTTGACCACATCTCATGAGGCAGATTTTATACCAAGTCCTTTAGGAGGGTGGCATCATTTCAGGTGCCACCATTATTCACATTGTTATATAGGAAACAGAAACTAGAAATTAATTGTTTTGTCCAAGGTCACACACATAGACAAATTATTTAAGCAGAGCTGAGATTAAATATGGTTTGTTAGATTTAAGAGCTTTAAGTGGTAAGAAAACCTTCGAGGATTTTAAGTCACATGGAGACTTAATGTAGCTCCTGGTGAACTTCTTGAGTTGAATGGTAGCTTATGAGTGTTTCAAAAGAAGAAGGGTTGGAGTTTTTTCAAGTTCGAGAATGCCTGACTTGAGAATAAAAAATCTGAGAAACTATTTTTCTTTGTAAAAATATGTGACTTTCCCAACAACCCAATAAATGGAATAAAGTCAGTGTCAGTAGCAGGATAATTCCCTCACAGTAGAAGAGGAAAGTTTGGTAAGAAATAGTCATAGAAAGTTTTCTGTTTAGGGACCAGCAGGTGGGTGGTGGTTGAGGTAGCTGGATCCCACATGGATGACTGCATGGTTTGGGGCCCAGACCCAGTGACATGAAAAACATGCTGGGGAACATTCACTCCCAAAATTCCAGTTTACCCTTCCCCCATCTTTCTCTAGCAAGCACACATACCCTGTGGCAAAATAAATTAAAAAAAAAAAAAAAAGAAAGCTTTCTGCTTTACTACAGAAATCAAAGGCATATGTTGTTCAAGTACCTGCAACAATATTTGTTGGGCAAATATCAATGGATAAACATAAAGAAGTTTCAAGGCCAGAGTAGGCTTGGTATCAGGATTATACTGACTTTTGAAAATAAGCTGTGCAATGTTCTCTCTTGTTTTTTGAGATTTTGTATTAAGATTAGTATTCTTTTACTTAAATTTTATAGAATTTGTCTGATAAACCATTCAATTGTAGTTTTCTTTGTAGGAAGAATTTTGATAATCTTACTTTGTTTCATAGATAATTGGCCTAATCAAGCTTTCTACTACATTTTTGTTCATTTCGGTCAGCCATGCTTTTGAAGGCATCTGTCCACGTTATATTCATTAGTTGTGAAATTTTTGTGTGTTTATTTGTTCATAATATAAAATTACATTATCCTTTAAATGTCTGTAGGATCTTTAGCAACATCCCCTTATTCCTTTCTGACTTATTTACTTGTTTATTTATTTATTTAATGAGCAAGAGAGGGTGCATGTGCAAGTGAAAGTGAAGATGCTTGTGGAGGGGGAGAGAAAGGGAGAGATTTTTGATAGCATTTCACCACACTGTGATCCTCTTGTCTTAACTTCTAGTTAACTAGGACCATAAATAACTACCATGCCCAACCTACTTAGGTTGGTCCAGGAACTGAAATGGGACCTTCTGTGTGGCATGAGCCATTGCACATGGCACCTTACTGCTTGTGCCACCCTCTTGAGTTCTCCACTGAGAGGGGGCCTTGTTTGTGATACTGATAATTCTTTCTCTCTTTTTTTCTTGATCAGTCTAAGAGTTTGTCAGTCCTCTGAACTTTTTGAATAACCAACTTCAGCTTTATTTATTCATTTATTGAGTTTGCTAGAGGGCTCATGTGCTTTCCAGAGAGAGATATGTGGGAGGGAGGGGGATGGGGAGGGTGGGGAGTGGTGAGAAAGCAGCCGCTATAGGTGATGGTCACACCATAATCCCTTCTCCATTTCTCCTTTTGGGATTCTGGGCACAAATACACATGCATGTGATCTGTTTATCAAGCTGCCAGGTCTAGGACTTGAACTGCGCAGTTGGCCATGTGGGATCTAGCCACTTTTGCCACCACACCATCAGCTGGCCCTATTAATTTTTGTGTTGTTTGTGTTATTTCATTGATCTTTGGTATATACTCCTTTCTTCTTTGGGTTTATTTTTTCTCTTTTTAAAGCTTCTTACAGTAGACACTTAAGCTACTAATTTTTTTGTTGTTTTTTTGAGAGATTTTTGCTATAGGACGCATGCGCTCACCAGAAAGACAGAGAGAGACAGAGAGACAGAAAGCGAGAAATCACCCCCCAGGGTGGATTACCACGCGGCAATCCCTTCTCCTCCATTCTCCTCTCAGGATCTTGGGCACGCACGCACGCACATGTGCCCGGATGAGTTTTAAGCCACTGGGTCTGAGACTCAAACTGTGGTCAACTACATGGGATTCCAGCGACATAGCCATTATGCTAACTGCTGGTCCCTTAAGCTACTAATTTTAAATATTTCTTGTTTCTAACATAAACTTTAAAAATACACACGTTCCTCTATGCATTGTATTAACTGTAACCCACACGTTTTGATGTATTTTCATTATTTAGTCTTCTAATTACTGTGGTGATTTCTTCAATTTGGGTTATATTTATGCTTGTTAGTTTCTAAATATTTGGTGCTTTTCTAGTTACTTTATTGTTATTGATTTTTAACTTAATTACTTTGCAGCAAAAGAACATACCTTGTAAGATAATCTTTTGAAATTTATTGAAATTTGTTTTATGGCATATAATGTTCTAGGAATTCTTGTATATAATTTGTTTTGCAGTTGTTAGATATGGTGTTCAATAAATGTCAGGCCAGGGAAGTTGACAGTGGTGTTCAGGCTCTCTGGTCTTATTTTCTTGCTATATTCTTACAATTTTATCTTTATTAATATCAGAATGGTAGCATAGTTTATGTATTAAAATGTTCAGCTATGATTATGCTTTGTTTCTAATTGCCTTTACTGAAGTTTTTACTTCATGTATTTTGAAGTTCTGTTCTTAGGCATATACACATTTGTAATTATTACATATGCTAATAAATTGCCCTTTTTCATTATGAAATATTTCCCTTTATTTTTCTGGTGATATTCCTACCTTTACTAATGTTAATGTAGCTAACTTATTTTAATATGTTTGAAGACATAACTCTTTTTACTCTTTTACTTTCAGCCTATTGGTCTTTATATTAGAGTGTGCCTCTTTCAGACAG